CAGGAGCAAAGCCACCCAGGCGGTGGGCACCCAGCAGACCAGGGAGACTGGGAGAAGCTTTTCTCGCCCCGTTCGTAAGTGCGGATCCGACATAAGTCGGATCCGCGTAAGTCAGGGACTGCCTGTATATATTTATATATAAATTGTGTTGCTTTTGATGTTCACAGAAATATGCATATCAAGTATGTTTGGTGTGGTTGACTCTGTCTCTCTGGCAGGTACTTGTTTGCCAGACAGAATGTTAGACTTCTCTGCAGATATTGAAAATGATGATTTTAGTTGCCATCTTGGATAGATACTCTGAAAGAGACAATTTGTGTCAATGTTCATGTCTATATTTCCTATTGAGGTCTCAGTTCATATTGTAAGATATTTTTTCTCTCAGTGCTAGATTAACAATGAATGTCTAGCAGCACCTTAAAGACTAACAAAACACGTAGATGGTATCAAGAACTTTCATGGGTACAACCCACTTCTTCAGATGACACATCAGATGACATAGAAGAAAAGATATTGTGGATACCTGCACCACCACAACTCCCTGACTAATTTTCTGCAGATATGAGCTCTTCACCTGGGTTTGCACTGCTTTACATAAAGTCTGATCAAATTTGTTTCTTTAATTCTAAGACACACAAATTATGTCAAAGTCCATATAATGAAAGAAACATTGAGCAGGTTTGCACATTTTCTGTAAAGTTTCATATAATGATTTTCTTACTGATCATAGTCAAAGAATAAGGGACTAAATTATGTAAATTGGTTTAAAATATTGAAACTTTCTATTTAGCTACAATATTTTATCTAGAATAATGTAATTAAATGTTTTTAACTTTAAAGTCACCCTGATAAGAAATTTCTCTAGATTATAACGTCTTGGTTAATGAGTCAAAATGTCAGACTTTACATCGTTGGAGAGAGGCGGGACCTTAATTAATTCTCTCTAGTTTAAAAAATGTATTTTTTCAAGTTTAAAGGCATTGGACATTGAAGGCTTCATTAACATGCAGATTTATATAAATAGTGCAAAGTGATTAGGTGATATAAATGGCCTTGAAAGAACACATCAATTCATTTCAAACCCTAATGTGTATATTAATAGAGTTCAGGAAGTCACATTCATTATCCTATGACAATAAAGAAAGTAAATACTCTCTTATTTAAACACGTTCAAGACTTTACCAACTGTTTCCTCAACCTTTATTATCAGCATTTTTGATCAAATAGACTTGTTTATGTATGCACTGTTTGAGAGCACTGTTGCAAAGTTAAAATGCACTGTTGAAATATGAATGGGAAGCTTGAATAATGGCTTATAAAATGAGTCCTACAGATTTTCTCATCTGTTAATGATAGTCTTCAAAATAGAACTAGTTTGAAACAACTTAATCCCAAATCTTGCTAAAAATAATCATTAATCAAATGATATATATAGTATATTAGAAGGAATGATGGTCTAGTGAAAAAGGCACTGAAAGGGTACTAGGAGACCTGGCTTCAAGTTCCTGATCAGTCACAGACTTCCTGAGTGACTTCAAGAAAGCCTCTTAATCCACCCTGTGCCTCCATTTCTACAAAATGAGCATCATACCTCACAGGGGTGTAGTGAGGATAAAATGCATTAATGACTGTGATGCACTCAGATAAGTGATGAAGGAAACATAAGAATATAGAAATAAACAAGGAGTCCTGTGGCAACTTATAGACTATTATATTTGTTTGGGCATAAGCTTTTTTGGGCAAAAACCCACTGTCTCAGAGGTCTCTGATTAACTGAGTTTTTGCCCATGAAAGCTTATGCCCAAATAAATACAATTTTCTTTAAGGTGCCACAGGACTTCTTGTTTTTGCAGCTATAGACTAACATGGCAGATAAGAATCTAAAGTGCAAGACATGGATTGTTAAAAATAAATGCCATGACATCATTTATTGCAGGTTCCCCTGTGTTTCCCAATTCTTCATACAAAGTAGCTGATCTGAAGCTACAATGCGAATATATAACTTTTTCAGTGTAAAATGTTACTTGAGCATGCTCACTTTTGTTTCTGTTCAGACCCTTATTGTGTGGGAAGGATGGATTAATATTGACTTTCCATTTACCCAATATATGAGCTGCCGAACATTTTTTCCCATTTGTGACCTGAATGGAAAGTACTTCTTTTCCAGTGATGGATTTAGCTTTCAAAGCAATTCTGTATGGGCATGGCAGAATGGGTCAGGCACTGAACTATACAAACTGTACTGTTGAAAAGAGACAAAAATCTTAGTTTTGACAGATTTGGAAAATAGTCAAAATGGAAGGGATTAGGAACTATTAAATCAGCGTTAATTTTAAAAAGATATTGTCATCCAGTAACTGAGGAATTTGAAAAATGCTAAAAATAAATTTGAAAGCTTACTGTGAACAGAGATGTGTTACAAATCCAACCTAAATCATCTTATTGACTCTCAAGGTGCGCTTTTTCCATTGTTCTTTTTACTTATCTCATCTGAAGATTCAAATTCAGTTATTTATGCCAACTGAAGTTTCTACAGTATTGCAGATATGTAATAAAACAATTACCTGGACTAATCAGGAATGTGGTATAATACTGTTCATGGCTGACAGAATGACAATTCAGTCTCAGCTGTTAATGAACAGTTTTAATAGAATGTAGGGTAGAAGAACAGTGATGTATCCTAGGTTCTCCTTTGAAGTTGAGGGTAGTGAGGTTCAGTCCCTGACCTTTTCATAGACTCCATATGACCTTGATCAAGTCATTTAGCCTGTTAATGCTTAAATTCTCCATGTTTTTATTTATATTGTGGTACCCCATAAAGGCATCAATCAGAGAACATACGCCTGTGGTGCTAGACTCTGTGCAAAGGGATAAAACAAAGATAGATCCAAAGAAATACAGTAGGTGAATACCTAGAAAAATAAAGCCTGGGTGGATGTGGTAAGTTAACACCAAACACAGGTACATTTGCTGATTTCTGTTGAGGATGGGAACAAAGGAGAGGTGGTGTGGTTGCTAATGCAGGTAGCATGCCCTTCACCAGTAGGTACGGAGTGGGTGCAGAGAAGACCAATATTGCCAAACACACATGTTTAAAAATAAGGAATAATACCCCTAAATCTTCATATTGTCTTTGAAACTATGACATATGGAATGAATGAATGAATAGTTCTTTTACTTCGATGTCATGTTTTTGAGATTCCAGGATGCAATGAGTCCATGTTTGCAGCTATTTTCCCACACTCAGAAGGCCTTTGTTTCTAGATGAAAACTAAGATTTTCATGTAAACATTTGGCTGCAGGAGCTGAGGCTTTAAATAAAGAATCAAATCTTGCCAAACTTATGGTATGATTACAGTGATATTGGTATTGGTATAAGTATTGGGAGAAAATCACATACATGAGCATTGGGGCCAAGAGGAAAATTCATTCTCCAGAGAATCAGCTCAGGCTACTTCTAGACTGCAGGCTTCATTCGGAAGAAGCTTTTCTGGAAGAGATCTTCCAAAAAAACTTCTTCAGAATGAGAGCAGCCACACAGCAAAAGTGCATCGCAAAAGCACATTGAATGGACACTCTCTCTCATTTAAGCTGTAATTACTATGGACGGAGTGGCCACTAGGACACCTGTGCTTTTTTTTCTTTCCTCTTCTTTTGAAAAATTCCCTCTTCCCCGTCCACACACGCCTTTTTCCGAAAGAGCTCTTTCAGAAAATGGCTTCTTCTTCATAGAAAGATGTTTACCAATGTCGGGAAAACCCCTCTGTTCTTTTGATTTTTTTTTAAATAATGTGATTGCAGTGTGGATGTAAGTGAAGTTTTTCCGAAAAAACTCTGTAGTGTAGACATAGCTGAAATGTGGAGTAGGAGCTCAGTGAGAGAGAGGAAGGAATGAGGGGGATGATCTTGAAAAAGGGAGGTGCAGATAAAGTGAGTGGGAACAGAGATCCTTTCCAGGTTGTTGCGATTCCCTTAAGACTTTTTACTATTCGACTTCCTAAGGACTCTAGCCTTTGTCTCTCAGGTTCCTTTAAGTGGCATACAACAGTGGTAGCCGATGATTTATTTATTTCCTAATTCCAAAAAATGTGGCTTCCATCCATGTGTGAATTATTCATGTCAGGCCAAGCCTCAGCTACATTTCACAATCTGAGTTAGAAAACAATTATATGCAAAGAGACTTTACAGTGCAACTTAAATTTGGAGTACATTTCATTTTTTCATCGTTAATGTACTGCTTACCTGTCATATGGCAGATGTATGACATAAAATAGTTTTCTGAGAGCATTGTCTTTTTTCTGTCTATACATGAACACAAATTGCACTTCGTATTTTAATGTTTTCAGTTTCTTCAGTAATTGTGGATAGCACAATTGTGACCCACAAGATATTCTCCATTTCAGTGAAAAACATTACTGTTGGATTTCTGTCCAGACAACAGAGATGAAGGTTTTGTTGCAGACTATTTTGCTTTCTGTGGCTGGCTCTCTTTTGATAAAAATGGCTGTTATTTGTCACACTGACAGGTACACCTACTGCGAAATGCTGGCGATGAAGTTACCATCACTGTACAGTACCTCAGGGAAGCTCCATCATTTCTAAAGCTCCCATTAGGTAAGAAGAAATTAATGAATATAGGTAATTTTTTTTCTCTTTTTGCAATAGTTCTCATAATGAGCAGACAGAAATAATTATCTTATTTCCAGATGTTTTACTGCAAGATCTGTTCTTTAATGTATGTTATTATTTCACATTCAGTGTATAAGAATTATAATTTGTTACACTCTGTGTTGCAATACCTAACTGGTTTAGGAGCTTAATTTTAATTTTCAAAAGTGATTTAGGCATTTAAGAGTTTAAATTCCTAATGACTTGCTGGGATTTTTCCAAGTGACTAAATCTCTTTTGAAAGTGGGATTTAGGTTTTTAAATCAGTTTGGTGTTGCAATACTGAGAGTAGCAATATCTAAAGTGTTTGAAAATGTGGGACATAGTATCAATTCAGGATTCCTTTGGATAGTGAATTTCAGATAAATCCCAAAACTCAGCTGAAATGTAACCACATGTCATTTCAGTGGATAAATACAAAAAGTTATTCCAATTTAAAGCTGGCTGAACCAATGTAAAACTGTAAACCCTGAACTACAATAACTTCTTTGACTGTCATGTAGAAATACTCCAAGAGACTTAGGCACTTCTGAATATCTTATCCAAAATTCTGTCTTCCTTCCATTCAGCCTGCAGGGCCTGTTCATAAATTCATGATAATTCCTTTGGCTAGGTGTCTGTTTTGTTTTCTTCCTTTCTGTTTTTTTTAATCACATGCCATAAGAGATCTATGAGGGCAATTGGGAAGGTCTCAAGGGTTTTTCCTTGAGATATCTCTACTCTCGTTTTGAACTGGACTGGAATATGATGGTTCTTCTCTTTGGCCCTTGTGTTTTCAGGTGTCTATCTATGATGTAATGAACAGACCATATTGATAACTAATAGCTTTTCTATACTACAGGTGCTTTGTTCACATAGTTGTGCCAGCAGGCCTCCTAATGGGGAAACATTCTAATCCAACAGAAAGAGTTCTGTGAAGATAGCTAAACCACTCCCCAAAGTACATTAGCTATGCTAACCGAATTCTTCTGTGGCATAGTTGTACTACATGCTTGTGCTACAAGGGTTTTGCTGGGACAAGTATATTGGCTAGAGTGTGTGACTGATAGTTTCTATCTGTAAGCCAACAAGTATATGGGCAAAAAATATATAGTAGGTCTCTCATTTAGCCAGTTGTTGTGATTCAGGAAATGTTGAGCTGATGTAAATAGTAAAGGTCTCCCTGACCTGTGAGCTTATGTTGATATGTCAGAACTGGTCACTCTTGTTGTTTCTTCTTGGTAAGACTCGGTTAAGTGGCTGATATGTGGCTGTCACAATTTTATAGTGGGGTATATGTGAATTTGCACTTGTTGCAAATGCAGCATCCAGATAAACTTTGTATCAGATAGGACTGGAAGTTGTGAGGTTGGTGAAAATCTTTCAGTGTTCCAATTTCCTAGTTTATAGAATGTACACCCAACACAACTGGACCTGTGTAGTTGGAAGGCTCAAAGCCAATGAAACTTCAATCTGAGGTAGTAAAGAGAGAAATTGCAAGTGGGAAACATTTTGATGCATTTGTTAGTTTGACAGCTGTTTGTAAATTAGGTAAGTGAAGTTTAGAATATGTCTTGATGTTGGTATACAGATTGTGCTCTACTTCTCCTAGGAATGAAGAGGGAGAGCTACCAACAGCAGGTAGTGTTGGGATGCACCCACAGGCAAATTACTTAATTTAAAAGGTGGGCTCACTTTGTTGGTTACATAATTTTATTAAAAATGTAGAAATAGTATCCATTAAAACAAGTATTAACTGAAACATATCTGTCTAGAGCAATCTGCACACAAACTTTTTTTTTATTCTGTGAATTCAGGAAATGTGTTTGGTAAATAAGATTTGTATATTTCTAACTCTTTCACACAATTATTTTATAAAATACATCTAAGAATGATTAGTTAAATAATGAACAGCAATCAGCAAACTTCTACTGCGGTAAGGCATTTTAGAGTAATTTTAAATACCAGTTTTTAACAGATTAAAGGCCCAGAGAAGCCACTAAAAACTCATACATATCCAGTAGTGTTCAAAACTTGGTAGGGGATTATTCTGTAACTTTCCCATGGAATACGGCTTAACAATGTCTGACTATATAACAAAAATTTGAGAGGCATGAAGAGAGGTACTCGGGCTGCTTAGAAAAATTAAATAGAGTTGAATCACTTCTTTCTATCTAAAATATGTGCATAAATTGTTATAGAGAAGATGAGCCTTATTGTGCAAGTTCTATGAATGTATTACCATTTTGCTAAACCCAACAAAAGTGGATGGAATAGAAGCATAAGAAAGCATGTGGATATGAATGATTGTCATTCTCTGTTATGTGTTATGAAGTTAGAGACTTGATAGGCCTATTAATGAGAAATGATTTAAGAGGAATTTCAAGTGATTGCTCCAGACAGGATAATGAATTTTGGTGATAATGAATATGGAGCTGTGAGTTTGATTTTTACATACTTTTATCAATATATTCTGATTGCCATAGTAAATTGAATATAAAACATGCATTATGTCAGTCTGAAGGTTACATAACTAAGCACGCAAACAAACAAAAAATGCAAAAATTAAATCTAAAAGCAAAACCTAAATCCTGTGCTGTTTGTCATTTGCATTGGAATAGTCTTTAATTATATAATTGTATACTATTTCTAACACAAGATGCACTACTCATAATATGTATTGGCATACATATTTCAGGAAAACTGCTATTACATAATACATTTAAAGACAACCTCCTAATGCATACATGCATGAGGAAGAAGTTAGCTTGTTGCTTGTCATGCCAAAAAGGCAGTCACATATTTGTTTTTGTATGATGTCATATTTTACCAATTCTCACACTGTATCCTTTTCCCAAATGAAATAATGGTGGCTTGTTTAATTTAACAATTAAGGAATTTTATCCCAACTTCTGATTTTCAGGTTCCCCTGGACCATCCAGTGATCACAGCAGTGGCGCTTCCTCTCCTCTCTTTGACAGTGGTTTACATTTGAATGGAAACACAACCAACACAGTAAGCAAATTGATTATAATCTGTGTTACCATTGTCTCCCACACCTCATTTCAAATGGTGAATCAAAATGAACCATTCTAAATGTGCTGAGAAAACACTGAACTATTGACTAAGGGAAAGAATCTCTGCCATTTTCTTCTAAATTGTTTAGTTGTCTAGGTATTACATTAAAGTCATTCACCTATTTTCTAAAGTGACCACAGGATGAAAAGATACTTTTTTATGTGAACTTTAACTTGCTTTATTGATTTAATATAAATACAGAAGTCAAAATATACTTACTGTGCATTACAAGATTTAATTAGTGAGAGACCAATTTACATGCTAGGAATGAGAAATAAGTAAAGGGAAAGAAAAAAGAAACAGGGAAAGTGGGGGTTAAGAAAACTATTTTAACAATATGCCTAACGAACCAAAATGAATTCTACAGCATGTGGTAAAGAAAGGGGCAGATGTAAAATGATGTAGTGGTCTGTTGTATCTGCTGTTTAGAGCCTTTCTCAATATGAAGTTAGTGGAAAACACAAGAGAAAGAAAAAATACAAGCAGCCTTTATATCCCCACCCTCCTCCTTTTGTGACTAGTCTTTGCACGTGGGTGCCATCTTTTCCAAAGAGGATGGGAAGGGGAGAAGTAGTGATGCAATCACAACTTTCTTTCACTTCACCCAATAGAGAGAGGCTAGTGTACAAACAAGGAAAAAATATTGCATCCAGTAGAAGGGTGTGATAGGAAGCTTCCTGCCATGCTTCCCTAGCCTCCCCAGAGGCATTGCACATTATACTGTCTCATTGTCCAACTGGAATAATACACAATTGCAGACAATCTCACTGTGGATCACAATCTTATTCTCACAGGTTTCTTCTCCACCTTGTCAAGGCTCATCACACTTATGGACTTTTGATTGATAGTGTTGATTCCTTAACCTCAGCCAGTGATATCTGTCTCTACTACCTTCTTGTCTGCTGCTCCCAGAAACATCACTGTACTTTCTCCCATGGTATCTTTTCTTGTTGATGCTTATTTCCAAAGTGTTCCATAAGACTAATACTCAGTTCATCACCAGGATATTCTACCACATGATGTTTTGATTAAAAGAACTAGAGCAATATAAAATGAACATTGAGCACATTAAATGGGTTAAACGCTGTCTAATTGATAGCTCTCAAAATGTAGTTGGGCATGGGGAATTAGCACCACCTAAATGTGTTTCTAGTGGGGTTTGCAGTGTGATGCTCTGACAGAAGGGCTAATGCAATCTTTTTATACATAGAAAAAGAAATCTTAGTAGGGAACAGAGGTTATTTTAATCTTAGTATTTGGCACTGTTTGAATATTGTGTTCAGTTCTGCATTTCAAGAAATGTTGATATATTGGACAGTGTTCACAGAGGAGCCACAAGAATGATCATAGCAAAATATAGACCCACAGAGTTAAAAGGGACTGTGTGGATCACCTAGGGCGTGTCTACATTGCAGGGCTTAACTGGAAATAAGCTATACAAATTGATCTATGTCAATTGCATGTCTTATTTCAAAATAACTTATTTTGAAATAGGGAGCATCTACTCAGCACTTATTTCCAAATACGGCACACTTCCTCCGACTTCCCTTATTCCTCGTCAGTGAGAGTTACAGGAGTCCTCCAGCTTGACAGTATTTTGACACTATTTTGAAATAACTGCCTGCTGTGTTGTAGTTGTGGACTAATTTATTTCAGAATAGTGCTAGTTATTTCTAAATAGTGTTGCAATGTAGACGTACCCTTAGGCTAACTGCATGATAAACTCGATTAGAACGCAGTCCTTATAGTGATATAGTTAAAGAGCTCAATCTGTTCATTTTAAGAAAGAGAAGATAAAGGGATGACTCATTTAGCACCTCTGAATACCTACGCAGGGAACAAATATTTGATTATTGATTCATAAATCTAACAGAAACAGGTGTAACATGATCCAATGTCTGTAAATTGAACTGAAGACAAATTCAGACAGGATATAAAGCATACAATTTTTAGTGGTGGAATGAATTAACCATTGGAATAATTTACTATGCATGGTGGTGGATTTCTGTTCACTAATCATTTTTAAATCAAAAACGGATTTTTTTTACCCTAAAAGATGTGCTCTAGAAGCCATATCTCCCCTCCCTTCTCTAGGTCCAAACAAATGCTATTTGCTATTCAGCCACAACAGAACCTGAATAGCATAACAAAGGTGTCTCTGAAGAGCTGCTTCTTCAGAGCACAGCTGCAACTGGCCCAGGCTCCTCTATCAGTAGGGGAAGAACTTGAGGCTTCTGTGTGTGTGTGACGGGCTGGGAGGGGGGTTGCAGCTCCAGCAACAGGGAGAGAATGAGGGTGCAAGGGGGGTGGAGCTGGGGCTAACCTCCCCCAATAGGGGTCCACCCACCTGTCACCCACAACCTCTTTTAAAAGGCCCCCAGTGTTCTTAGCTGCTGCTAAGGGGCCCCAGGCCCTTTTAAACTGTTTGGGCCCCTGGGTAATTGCCCCCTTTCCCTCCATCATTGGGCCCTGGATGTTCATAGACCAGGTAGTACAGTGAAACACATGATAGACTTTGCACATGTTGTAAGGAGCTTCTCCCATGTATATGATCACCAAGAGAGGAAACATGAAACGCTTGTTTGAAATAATTATTGCTAGATTTCTGTTATCTAGAAGCTCACATTTCATTTAAGCCATATGCTAATTTTTAGTTATTGTCTAAAATTAATAATAAGAAATTGGATTTATAGGACCTATAAGAAAGAAAATCAGAGTTTATGTTTCTGAAATGGAACACTGAAGATTGCAGACAAAGCTCAAAATCTTGTAGGGAGAGAGAGAAAGAAAAGAGGAGAATACCTAGAAGCAGTTTGGCTTATAAATGTCATTGAACCAGGTCCCTCTGAAGTTTAACAGTCTCACAAGAGGAGCCAAGTATTCACACAAGAAAATATGGAAAAAATGATAAAGCAGAACAAAATGCTTTATGGTATACACCTGGCTCAATAGAAAAGTCACAACCTCTTTTCATAAGGAAAAGTTTGAAAAGGTTCCCCATTACTTCATGAAACGGCAGATGAAAAGGCAAGTTGTCAAATGTTCTGAAAAGAAAGTGGTCTTAGCTTCTGAGTTGGCCCACTGAAAGCATGCAAGCAGAGACATTTTATCAAACTAAACTGTGATCAAAACAAGCAAGCAAAGGGTCATGAAAATGTCAGTTGAAAACCAAAGGGTTTTTCTGTTTTTTTAAATAAATGTCATAATGTTGTACAGTTAAAAAAAAAAAAAAAAAAAAAGACCAGGACTATTGTTTTCCAAGAATTGCTCGCTTCTAAAAGTGGCTCAATTTGCTGTCATACTTTTTGATGATTCTCAAAACCCTTTAATGGAACTCTCGGATAGAGGAATTCAGACTGAGCTCAAGCATGCTTGGTTTTCTGATCATATTGCAGTAGCACGTAGAGGCCCCAAGTAAAATCAGTTCTCTACTATGCTACCCACTATATAAATATATAGATAGTGAAGTCCTGCCCTCAAAAGCATTCAATCTAAAAAGACAAAACATTCTAAAGGGAGGAGAGGGGAGTTATGATGTACCTTTTACAAATCTTACTGTGCTGGCTGCTTGTATGGCTCCCTTCACCACAGGTTTTGTTTGCCATCCAGTCTAGTACATTGCCCTCATGACCATGCTTTCGGGTGTGTTCACATCAGAAATACACATGCTTGTCAATAAACTGTTTACTTTGCAATGGGTCCCATTATGCAAAAATATCCACATACTCACCAGAGCTATGCGAAAGAAAAAGTACCGTTAGCACCCATTTGTGCCGCCTTTACTCCTTTTGCATGATACTTAGATTCTGTGGGCTACTTGGTAATGACTATTGAGTCGTATCCAGGAATAAGGTTGGGATGGTATGTTATGCTAGCAGAGGGAAGTTTCAGTGCACTCCCAACATATACACACACACATACATATCCACACATATGTGTTTCTTTCTCTCTCTCTTTCTCTCTCTCTCACATTCATTCACAAGAACAGTGAATACAAGCCACTAAGCTGAATAGGTTGCCCCATTGCTGGGTAGTTAAACCATCAGGGGGGTATTTCCCAACATAAGGGGCAGGTAAAATAAGGCCTGTGGACCAGATCCTGTCCACCAAGCCACCAGATCTGGCCTGCGGGGCCCTCTGCCAGGCTCCCTGACTACTCAGCCCCACACACTGCTCAGAGCAGATCTCTGAATGCTGTGAGCCAGGGAAGTCAGGAGGAAGATGGGGGGAGGCTTTTTGCACTTCCCTCACCCCCAGCAAAATCTTGCAGTTCCCATTGGCTCAAAACCACCCATGTGAGCACCTCCCAATCATAGCCTGCCTCTGGCACTCTAGCCCTTCCCTGTCCCCAATCCTATTCCCCGTCCTTTACCCCTACCCCATGTAAGTCAAAACCTCCACATCCCTGCTTCTGCACCCATACTTTCTCCCATACTTTGCACATCCTCCTACACCCATCCTCCAGGTCACAACCCTTCCTCTACAACTTGCACCTCAATCCCGTAGCCCTAGTCACAACCCAAATCCCTGCACTCTCTCCTGCATTCTTGCCCCAGGTCACAATCCCCTCCCAGACTCTGCACTCTCTCTTACACACCTCCTTCAGGTCACAACCCCTTCCCAGACTCTGTACCTCCTCCTGCACCCCAGTGCCCTGCCCCAGGTTGCAACCCCTTACTTCACCCAAACTCCATCCCAGATCCCACACCCTCTCCTGCACCCCAGTCTCTTACCTCAAGCTCCCTTCTGCACCCAACCTCCATCCCAGATCCTGAACCTTCCCATTAATAGCATGGAAGATTGTAGCCCTTGGGAACTTACCAAATTCTTGGAGTTCCCCCTCTATGAAAAATTATTGCCCAGTCCTGCAATTATTGCCCACCTCTACATGGTCTAGCTGGTCCACTAGAGAAAGAAATTTGATGCAGACTCATTAA